GTCTCTGGCGAGGTGCATGGCCTACAGATATATGAAAAAATGCTCTCCATCCTTAATCATCAGAGAAATGCAAATCAAAACTACTTTGAGGTACCACCTAACCCCAGTGAGATTAGCCCATATCATAAAATCCCCAAACCAGAGATGTTGGCGTGGATGTGGAGAAAAGGGAACACTGCTACACTGCTGGTTGGAATGCAAATTAATTCATTCCTCTTGGAAAGATATCTGGAGAACACTGAGAGAACTAAAAATAGACCCGCCATTTGATCCTGCAATTCCTTTATTAAGTATATATCCAGAAGACCAAAAATGAAATTACAACAAAGATATTTGTATCAGAATGTTTATTGCAGCCCAATTCATAATTCCTAAGTTATGGAAGAAACCCAAATGTCCATCAACCCACAAATGGATCAATAAATTATGGTATATGTACACCATGGAATTCTATGCAGCCCTAAAGAAGGATGGAGACTTTACCTCCTTCTTGTTTATATGGATGGAATTGGGAAATGTTCTTCTTAGCAAAGTATCTCAAGAATGGAAAAAAAAGTATCCAATGTACACAGCCCCATTTTGAAACTAATTCATAGCTTTTATAGGAATGTCATAACCTAATTAGAGCCTTAGAATATGGGAAGGGAGTAGGAGGGGGAAGTGAGGCTGGTGGATGGGGGGAAGGGCGGGAGATTGGTGGGGTCATCTCTATGGTTTATCTTACAAGGGTACAAGTGAATCTTTCTAAAAGCAGAGTATGAACTTTTTAACTCAATAACTAAGAAAATGACATAAAGGTTATCTTGACCAGTTTGATGAGAGTATTTCAAAGTGTACGTGAAAACAGCACACTGTACCCCATGATTGCATTAATGTACACAGTTATGCTATAAGAAATAAAAAAAAAGTCTCTGGCAACTAGATAGGAGGGGTCTACTGGCAACTCAGATATGACTTACTCCAGTGCTCTGTGAGGGCAGAAGGACCCACCCAGCAAATGAATTAGCCTGGGAAGGTTGATGCCTCTTTCCCCACCTTGCACCCAGTCACTGGTAATCCCACAGGGCTGTGACCCAGTTCACTCCATTGAGCAACTGCTCCCGGGGTGTATGACTGCCTGAATCACCAGGGGATCTGAGTCCAGCAGGGGTACCTTTGGTGTTTAATATAGGAGGGGGAAATTCACTCAGATCCAGCCCCGCACCTGGTTGAAGTTGCTGGCAGAAAAGGACAGAGCAAGGCTAACTTCCTCTGCAGGTCAGATGCTGCTAGAGCTGATATAAAACTCAGCCCTCAGCAGCAAGCAATTGAGTTTACACTCAGGTGTCAATTCCAGTCTCTGCCTGCCCACTGCCTTTGTCTCAGATATATTCCCCCGAGGGCTAGGTGCTATTATGATCAGATAAGCAAGCTACTCACAGACCCTCCCGGTAAGTCTGTGAGCTGCACGTATTCTAGTCCCTGTGCTCCGCCCAGGTCAGTAGCACTGCCCAGAACCTCTGGTTGCCCAAAGAGACAGGGCATTTCTCCAGAATGGCCTCAGGGATGTGAGCCTTTCCTGCTGCCACCGCTGCTGGTCTGCAACTCAGGATACTGCAACTCCTATATAATTCCCTCTCAGCTGACCGTATTCTCCTCACTCCCATGCCACAGAGTCAGCACAGACTAGCACCAGCCCTTTCCCCCTACACTCCTCTCAAGAAAGTGCCCAAGAATATGGATTTCATGGGTGACAAACCTCCAGACCTTGGGGGCAGGAGGGGGAATTCTGGGAGCTCAGAGTTGCAGGTAGAGAATATATACAGTTTTATACAGTTTTACAGTTTTATGCCTGGCAGGAGATGCTATGGCACCCTAGTAGGGGTAGGAGGTCCAGTTTTTAGGGGGGTCTCTCCCATGGGAAAGAGTGGGAAGATGTTTGAACTCTGCTCGCTTGTTTGTATGGAGTAAACTGCAAACACTTCTTGTGGGGGAGGGGACTCCCATCTGCTTGGTGGTGGATTTTGTACCTTTTGATTGTCTTTTGGGGGTCACAGCTTGGCTCAGCAAGAATGATGTGCATTCTTCAATCTTCTCTCTTGGCTCAGCTCCAAACCATCAGCTTACTTGCTAAACTTCGGTCCTTTAAGTCTTCTTTTGGATGGGAGCTTCTGTAAAAAGCTGGCTGCAGTCTGCCATCTTGCCTCTGCCCCGGAATTGTTTTCTTAATTTTTGAGAAGGCTGTTCATTGCTTGAGTGTAGAAATACAGCTGAATTTTGCATGTTGATTTTGTACCGTTAAACTTTGTTGAACTCATTTATTAGCTCTTGACAGTTTTTTTGTGGGTTCTTTAGGAATTTATACATGTAAGATCATGGCATCTGTGAATATAGATAGTTTTACTTCTTTCTTTACAATATGGATGCCTTTATTTATTTTTCTAGCTTAAATCTATAGTTAAAATTTCCAGTATAATGTTCACTAGAAGCAGTGAAAGCAGATATCCATGTTCTTCATCTTAGGGAAAAGCTTTAATTCTTTTACTATTGAACATAATGTTAATTCAGACATTTATTTGTTTTCAAACCTTTCTACTTTGATGTTGAAATAACCAAGTGAAACTTAAGACATTCTGTGTATGTCCAGAGATGATCACTGTTCATATTTCACAAATTTATTATTAAATTTTCTTTAAAAGCTTTTTTCAAAAATATGACCTTGTAGCTACTGTCTTTATTACTAAAACAGGCAGCAAAATGATGTTTTATCTATTACAGTTTGGATAATGGAAGTTATCTTAGTTATTATTTATCTTGGAACCAAGCATTTTGAAATGCAACATTTTTTAGAATGTGATTGGTCATTGCAATATGTGATATGTGTTTTTTGTTTTAAATTACAGATCGGCTTTGTTCTGTATCCCCTCAGTGGAGGTCCTGGCTGGGATCAAACAGATCATGACAATATTATGTTTCTCACCATATGCTTTTGTTGGCATTATGCACTAAGCTTTATCATCCTTGGAGTGAATTATGCCTTTATCACCTGGTGAGTTAGTGATTTCTATTCATGGATGTTCTGTTCCTTGGTATATGATCATCAAGACTTGATAATGTCGAATTTAAAATTCAAAAG